TTGTTGTTGTTGTTGTTGTTGTTTTGCGGGGGGGGGGGGTATTAATATATTCTTATACCCAGTACAATTGTACATGGGCTGATTTATCAATGTTATGCTCATACTGTGCAGGAACAACATGGGGGGAGCAGCTGCTTTTTCTTTCCTCATCCTTACTATCGTCATTTTCCTCTATTTCTTTTGTATGTTTGTCACTCTTTTGTGAACTGCTATTTCCTGGGTGCCTTTATGGTCGAAGCAGACTTTGTGCTGTTGAGGCTGGAGAGGTGAGCAGAGTAAGCCTGATTCCCCGTTTGGACTTCTCTTTTGTCATCCGCCCTTTGGCGCTCCTATGACCTTATGAAGTTGCGAGCTTCGTAATACTTCTACTAAAACTAAAACTAAACTCTGTCTGTCTGTCTTACCTTTTCCAAACACTAGGTGACTATTATTCAGTAACATTATGGATGTACTTCTATTTACTCAAACAAACAAACCAAGATGGTTTCTTTCACTAATTTGTCTGCTCTCGTGATGTACTCTGTTGTTTCTATCGTCTGTCTATTTTAGTTTTTCCCAGCACTAAATAATAATTATTGTGTCGATTTGTTTCTCTTTACTCAAACAAACAAAAACCAAAAGTTTTCTTCCAGTTCTCCTAACATCCTCAGTTGTTTCTGTCTGTCTGTCTCACTTTTTCCCAGCAATAGATGGCCCTCATAGAATTATATTAACGATGTGCTTCTCTTTTCTCAAACAAACAAACCAAGATGGTTTCTGTCTCTTATTTGTCTATGCTTGTGATGTACTCTGTTGTTTCTGTCTGTATGTCTGTCTGTCCTACTTTTTCCCAGCACTAAATACCAGTTATCGAGTCGATGTGCTTCTCTTTACTCAAACAAACAAACCAAGATGGTTTCTGTCTCTTATTTGTCTATGCTTGTGATGTACTCTGTTGTTTCTGTCTGTCTGTCTGTCTCACTTTTTCCCAGCAATAGATGGCCCTCATAGAATTATATTATCGATGTGCTTCTCTTTTCTCAAACAAACAAACCAAGATGGTTTCTGTCTCTTATTTGTCTATGCTTGTGATGTACTCTGTTGTTTCTGTCTGTATGTATGTCTGTCCTACTTTTTCCCAGCACTAAATACCAGTTATCGAGTCGATGTGCTTCTCTTTACTCAAACAAACAAAAATCAAACGTTTTCCTTGTGTTCTCCTTACATCCTCTGTTGTTTCTGTCTGTCTGTCTCACTTTTTCCCAACACTAGATGGCCATTATTGAACTATACTTTCGATGTGCCTCTCTTTACTCAAAGAAAAAAAAACAACCCAAGATTTTTTCTTTCTCTTATTTGTCTGTTCTCGTGATGTACTCTGTTGTTTCTGTCTATCTGTCTGTCTGTCTGTCTGTCAGTCTGTCAGTCTGTCAGTCTGTCTGTCTGTCTGTCTGTCTGTCTGACTGTATTTCTGTCTGTATGTCTGTCTGTCTGTCTGTCTGTCTGTCTGTCTGTCTGTCTGTCCTATTTTAACCCAGCACTAAATAACAATTATTGTGTCAATGTGCTTCTCTTTACTCAAACAAACAAAAACCCCAAGATTTTTTCTTTGCCTTATTTTTTCAGTTCTCGTGATGTACTCTGTTATTTCTGTCTGTATGTCTTACTTTTTCCCAGCACTACATAACCATTATTGGATTATTAATCAATGTGCTTCTTTTAACTTCTCTTTACCCAAACAAACAAACAAGCCTCGATATTTTTTACTCTCTTATTTGTCTGGTCTCGGGGCGTACTCTGTTGGGTGTTTCTGTATGTCTGTCTTACTTTGTTTTCCGGTACTAAATAACAATCATCTCAGACAAACTAATCCAGATATTTTCTTCCTCTTATCCGTCTGTTGTGACGGTGACAGGCTGTGAAGGCTGTGCTGGTGGTGGCGGCCATGTTTGTGACGTGTAACCTGCCTCCTGTGCGCAGCACCACAGCGTCTCTGTTGGAGCCGGACTTCCAAGAGTTTGGACGCTATTTTAGGTAAGTAATTTCTCAATTAATTCACAACCTGTTTTTGGGTGCGCTTTAGCGCTCATATACGTGTGCATGTTTGTGTGTGTGTGTGTGTGTGTGTGTGTGTGTGTGTGTGTGTGTGTGTGTGTGTGTGTGTGTGTGTGTGTGTGCGCGCGCACGCGCGCGAGCGCAGCCATCTCTGTTGGAGCCTACCTACCAAGAATCTGAACTCTATTTTACTCGTAGGTAACTAATTCCCAACCTGTTTGTTTTTAATCGTCTCTTGCTCATTTGTTTTAAAAATTTGTAAGTTTCGTAGATTTCCATTTTAAAAAATATTTATCTTGGTGATGATGACAAAAATGTTGTTTCTTCCCAGACTCTTTTTCGCCATCAGTTACGGCCGTTTCACGCTGATGACGATCTGCTCGTCCTTGAACATCGTTGTCTACGCCACGTTCAACAGCAACTTCCGGCATACTCTCAAAGCGATGTCTCCCAGTTGTTGGAGGGAAGAAAATGGCGTCGACACAAAGATAGTCCCTTAGAGAGGTGGGGTGTGGTCGTTGGATGATGAGTGCTCTGCTGCGGTTCGCTCCTTCTTTCCTATCAAACATCTAACGTCCTGATCTCTCCTCTGCGGGGGGTTGGCGGGTGGTTGGCGGGTGGTTGGCGGGTGCTCCAGTGTGGTTCGCTGTTTCTTTCCTATCCAACATATATCATCCCGATCTCTCCTCTGTGGATGGTTGGCGGGTGCTCCGGTGTGGTTCGCTGTTTCTTTCCTATCCAACATATATCATCCCGATCTCTCCTCTGCGAATGGTTGGCGGGTGCTCTGGTGTAGTTCGCTCCTTCTTTCCTTTCAAGCATCTAACGCATCTAACGTCCTGATCTCTCCTCCTCCCTCTTTTGTGTGTGTGTGTGTGTGTGTTTGTTACCGTCTTGTAACACCGCTTATCTTCGGCACTTATTTGGCCTTATTTGTGATGCAAGTGACGTAAAACTCTTATCCCCCAACCACTTTTCCTCCCCATCCCACATACAACTCTCAGTCAATTTTTTCCTTCAAAAATTTCTCTAATAAATGTATGTAAAATCTCGATGCAGAAATAAAGATTTTATGCAAACTTTTGATTACAGCAGCATATGACTGTTTTTTCTACATAAAGTTTTTTTGGTGTGTTTTGAGTTGTTTTTTCTCTTGTGACTGTTTCAACACCATATGAAGACTACAGGAGAAAAACGACTATAGTCACAAACTGAAAATCGTGAGGGCACCAAATTTGAACGCTTGTTGACTCATAACTGTATTTCTGTTCAACCGTTGGTTGATTATTGTTGTTAGATTTCCCATTCAACAACACTTAACAATAAACCGCCAGTCAGACTAATATGAAGTTATGAGTCCATAAGCTTTTAAAATTGGCACCCTCACAATTTCGAGGTTGTGACAACCGTCGTTTTCCCCCAATGCTCTTCACATGGTAACTACGGGATGTATGATGTACAACCTCCAACATAACATGCAAAAATCTCCGGCACAAGAACTGAACACAATGTCAAAAAGCCAAAGAGCTTATCATTCTGTCCCAGTAGTTTCATGCTAGAAAAATTCTGAAATTATGCAAAATGAGCCCAAAAATGTGAAATTATGCGATTCTGTTAATTTTAACAAAGAATGATAAAAGGAAAATAATCAGAAATTAAGAAAAAAAATATCAACTTTTGCTAAATTATTCGGCCGGGGAGCATAAAACCACGGGAACAGGCTTATCCACAAAATTCTTCTCCCCCGACAAATCTCACTAAGCATGTCCTGGGACCTTTCCCTCCGTCCCGGCATTCACAGCAGTACCAGGCGGGCTGGACGTATGCCAGTTTGTCACACAGGCCTCGACTGTGCCCTATATGATAGGATGGACGTTATCACTGACACTCTCAAAAAGAGTAAATGAATGATTGATTGATGGTATGAACTGAATTTTATTTTTCAATGTTTTTAGCAAAAGAACATTCATTTTTGAAATTGTACAGAGTAATTTGCTTTGATTTGCATACAAAAAAAGAAGAAATATTGAACAACACAATCTGAATTGACATTTTAGAGGAACTATCTCTACACCATCAATTTGAAGGTGAAGAATAAAAACATAAGTTACAACTACAGCGTTAAAGTGCTGTAATTATGACTGTCATCAATACAGTACTCAAAGGCTTAAATGAATTTGTGACAAACTGGGCCTGTGACAAACTGGGCCTGTGACAAACTGGGCAGCCCCTGGCGGGCTGGTCAGTACAGCCGTGGGAACAGTTTGAATTTTGCCTTTTGACCCGGATTCGGATCTTTGCCGCTGCTCCTCGGCTAAAACAGTACCTGGACATGGATGGCTGGCGCCTCTATAAATACATTATTGATGGTCAATGTCCCTTCAAACCTGTGTCCTTTTTTTGGTACTTCCGATTTGAACAGAATCGGGCGGACAACTTCTGAAGTACGGGTTTGCGCATGACAAAGCGTGTAATTAAACAAGCTGTAAAAGCCCACCCTTGCCTGCAGAAGAATGTGTTGTGAAGGAAACATTCGAAAAGTCAACTGCTCTCTGATATCTCATGTTTGTTTTGTTTCGGTAATTGTTTGAAAGCTCTCGCCACTAAGCTCGCAGGAAAAATTTAATATTTTTTTCTTTTGGTAGGAATTAATTTTTAATATTTATTTATCCGGGTAGCGGCCGAAGCCTACTCTTGTCGATTTCGGACCACCAAGGAATCTCTAACGTGAGCAACTTGCAAACAGGACCTTTGAAATGTTTCATTCTTATCTAAGAAGGCTTGGTGTTAGATCCTACCTACCTTAAGATCAGGGGTGTGGCTGAAAGACAGCAGTAAGAAGAAGCCAAGGAGTAGTAGAAGAAAGGCTATAGAAAGAGTCAGGTGCCCACAGGAGGGTGCATGAGAGCCCCCGACACTAAAATCTTAAGATGAAAGAAATGTAACAAAATCATTTCTTGGCCCCTGCCTAAGTGAAGCAACTCATTCCCAATGCCTTCTCATATCCAAAATCTGGACTTAACAAAATTATTATCAAAGAGTAATTAATTATATGTATGATTCCAAAAGTCGATTTTGTCAAGTCTCAAGAAGTACCATGTACCAACGAAGGGAAGTAAAAAAATCACTTCGTGACCTCTGGATCAATGAAAAAACTAATTCCGGATTACTTCCCTTGCTTGGTACGTGTCCAGAAATTCGGACATGACAAAATTATAGAAGTCAGCTAGATGATAATGTACATACATTTGTATGGGGGGTGTATGAGGAACTGAGTGTCTGCGTGTGTTTGTGTGTGTATGTGTGTGTGTGTGTGTGTGTGTGTGTGTATGTGTCTGTGTGTGTGTTTGTCCGCGCGTGTGCCTGTGTGTGTGCGAGTGTTTGTGTATGCATGTATTGTGTGAGTGTGTGTGTGTGTGTGTGTGTGTGTGT